GCTGAAAACATCACCATTTTCAAATACTCATGAAAATGAAAATGGATAAACGACTCTTAAATCTCACCATATGTTTTAACTTATGTAAAATTTAACATATGATATTAATAAAGTGATAAAGTACATTTTTTATTTGTGATCTCATTTAATATTGGTAATAAAATGACTATTTTCCTGTTTTTAATCTTTAAACGTGCCCCCCCCCCCCCCCGAGACAACAAAACCTTTGGAATGAATAAAAACTGAAAAAAAGTATCTGTTGTCTCGCGGGGGAAGATGTTTTGAAAATAAATTTCCATTTTCCGTTAATTTCTGTAGTGAAATATTTTTTTCAAATTAAAGATTTATATCTCTTTATTTTTCCAAATAAGTTATGTTTTACATACATGGATCTAGAGGGGGGGGGGGTCGTTGTGAAGGGGGGGTGAGGTCCAGACCACCCCCTGGAATTTGTAGAGTTATTTAATGTATAGACCTATACTATACCAACTAAAAGTGACCTTGGAAACCCCCCCCCCCCTAGAAAACGCGGATCCGTGTTAAGTTGATATGAAAATCATAGATATGAAACATAAGCCCCCCCCCCCCACACACACACACGCGCCGAAATAGGTTTAATAGGTTTTTCACGTTTAGGAAAGGAGTTCACGGTTTTTTTTGTTTTTTTTTTGGTTTTTTTTTTTTTTTGGTTTTTTGTTTTTTGTTGTTTTTTGTCTTTTTTTTTTTTTTTTTGTCAAGAAATTTCTGGGTTGGATTTTTATGACGTCGAGCTCCTGGAGCTCGAACGTCATCTAGCGATCGGCCAAGTGAAATCGCCAAGGGATGTACGCGACCGAATGTGTCAGTGGATGCATCCGCAATAGAAAATAGCAATAGCTATAAACCAATTTCTTTTAAAACGCTCACAATGAATAATTATAGCTTGAAAATGAAATTGCATCAATTGTATCTACAATTAATTCTTTTACAAAACAACGATATTATGTTTTATTTTCACACAATAAAAACGTGATGGTTGTTGCGGATGAATTTCTACAGAAAGGTGCGTCGAATGACATGAATAACATTTTGGAACGATAACCGTGGAACACAAACAACCCAACAGGCGGTAAAATAATTTACAAAATTACATAAACACGAATACTATAAGACTGAAAAGATTGAATTTGTAAATCTTAGCTTTACTTTTACAATCTTCTGACCAAATTTATCCTAAAAACCGATGATGTTGACCAGTATTACTGTATTTCTCTATTTCCTCCATTTCCCAGTATACCGTATACCACGCCCGATCGTAACTCGATCGTAATTATAACAGAACAGTCTTGGTTGTAGTTTAATATTATATAATTTTATGAAATCCTTCATAGTTCTTCAACTGACTGAAAAGAATTTAGCATGAAACATGTTCGACGGTGTCTGGTCAATTCGAACCCTGCTCCATTCGGACCATGACATAAGGCCCCAGACTGTAATTGTGATATTTTGTTTAAAACTATTTTTTTATTATTTCTCCCGAGTCACTCACTTGACTTATTGCTATCTTCAAATTCAAAATGATCTTTTGAAATTGTTTTTCTTCTTCGACGTCATTGAAGCCTTTCAGGCTTTTGATTTTTTACTGGAGTGGGCCCCTCCTGTAAAAAAAATCCTGGATCCACGCCTGGTTTTATGAAAATCACAACATAAATATCAATATAAATATGAAAAATTATTCAAATATGTGTGGCAGTTGGCAGTAAACAGTGAGCAGTTGGCAGTAAGCAGTGAGCAGTTGGCAGTAAGCAGTTGGCTGTCGTATATGGAATTCCATAGATAATGACTTTTAACTGCAGTTGTGAAATCTGACCTGTTGTTGGCAACCTTATACCTGTTAAAATCGTTCATGCATATCGTTTAGCACGTGGATATGATGCAATCGGTCAAGTTTTGAATCAGATTATACCGAAATGATTTAAAATAGTACATGTCCTTCTATAAATTTATTGCGTCCATTGGGATGCACATTTATTGAAATAATGCGTCCTGAGCAAATTTTGTGCGTAATTTACACAGGACGCACATCAAAATGAATCACTGTAAAATGCATGAAAAATCTGTATATTTTATTAATAAATGGTTGAAATACACTTCTGAATTATTTAATACTAGACCAGTAGGTCTATAATGCAAAATTTATTGAGAACATTATTAAACTTATGATAATAAAAGTTAGGAAATCCAAACATTACACTAATAGGTGGTTTATATTTGATATTTATGTGTGACTGGAAATAATTCTCCAAAATAACATCCATTTATGTATAAAATAATCAAAAGTAATCGAAAAAGTAATTATAATTACATTGAAAATTTTAGCTGTAATCGATTAAATTACAATTACAAGTAATCGAAAATCTCTTCAATTAAAGATTACTGTCGATTACTTGAAAAAAAGTAATCATTACAATCGATTACGATTACCCCATCCCTGGATAATACTAGTAATACATGGTTTAGGGTTGGTAAAAGCAACTATAACTTTGATGAGGTCACAGAAATAAAATTAATTTTATTAAATGCTTTTAATATGTTTGATTTCCATTAGTGAACTCTTCAAAATTGGAGGCATGTTTGGTCATCTGACTGGGACAGCATGGCGTTGCGGATAATACAAAACATGCCAACCTCAATCCAATTTTAAATGTTAAATGTATTTGTCATTCCAATTACAGAATAGACGAACTAAAAGACATATGTAAGAGAGCGAGAACCCTAAATTTATCATCCATTAACAAAAAATACGACATTTCCGAGGCATGTGTATTGTATTTAAATGTACCATATGATAAATAGATACATACGATCAACAATAGATATAAATTGATATCGTTGTCATTTCTACTCTTAATGTATATAAAGTACACAACAAGAAAATATTTCATTTGCATTTTGTTAGGATTTGTTCATCGACATTCAACATATTGTTTACATGTTTATGTTACGTTTGTCCCAGAAATCCCGCGAGATTTGTACATTTTCCGACTCTTTCACAAAAGAGCACACTAAGAAGTATAACTCTTCAATAGTGGAAATAGAACGTATTCAAATAACACTTGAAACTCGTGTAATATTTAGCATGTGGCAAATAACTGTATTTAAACTATTTAATGTGTCATTTAACTGACCAATCAAACCACAATTGTACAATTTTATTAGAAACTTCTAAGAAGTTAGTTGCTTGCTTTCGGGGTATTTTCCTCCTTCTACCTTGCAACCACTGCAAAATGAAGTTTATTCTGAATTATGTCAATAAGTATGGTCTCACTCAGCCAGCAGGAAGTAGACATGCAGTGGGATTCACAACATTCAAGGTTGTTTGTACAACCCGCTGCATCCCTCTCTACAGATATGTGACAGGTGCATTATGCACTGGACTATTCTTATGTGCTTTCTGCAACACATACTTGTATGCCAAGTTGACCTACTGTACATTGCAGTACATACTTGGCCAAGTTTGGTACTTAGTACATGTAACTCTCTCTCTCTCTCTCTCTCTCTCTCTCTCTCTCTCTCTCGTATCGTTTCCTTTAATAAAGTATTAAAGTTAGTTTTAGTGAACACAATTTTTATTTTTAACATTAATATGGAGCTTTTATATTCATTTACTCATATATAGAGAGATTTGAAGCAGAATTTTCTGAATACCGGTAGATAAAGATTTGACTCCAGGGGGAAATGGTGCAGCAGCAAAGACATTGTTTCAATACTGCATGTTTTGCACAGGTCGTCTCAAGCCACAGTCCGCATATAGCTCTCTACAGAATGTGAGAGGATTGTACATTTTGGCAGCTAGGCCTGTAACAACGGTTTCAAAAGTGGGGGGGAGACTTCCCAAAAAAAATCTGATAAGCAAAAAAAAAAAAAAAACCCTACACTGACCAAAGGGGGGAGGGGGGGGGGGGGGGCAACTTCCCATAATTATCTGACAAGCAACAACATAACAGTTAATTTACTGTCCAAATCCCGGACTTGCCTATAATCGACCTTACAACATCAAAAAGTGGGGGGGGAACCAGCATCTAAAGGAAAATTTGCCATAGCAAAAACTATACTCAGAAAGAAGTGGGGGCGGCCCCCCTGCCCCCCTGCATTCTAAGGGCCTGTTTGATCATTTGCCCCTTTTACCCTTGTCACAAGTGGAAAACACAAGGAAAACAGCATTATCTCTTGAACACAACCCATCTGGGTGAATTTAAAACAGGAGAAAATTGTTTGCAAGTGTGAAAGGGCGAAAATAATTCTGTATACAATACTTCATGCTTACAAACCTCAGGAAGTTGATGTTGCACTGATTTTGAATGAAAGTTGGGCCTAAAATAAAATAAAATATTCTGTGTTTGCAGTTGTCTACCAAACCACTTAAAATGGGCGTGACCAAATTTTTTCATTTATTCATCAGGATGATTCCCCCCCCCCCCCCCCCACTTTGTTTTCTATATTAGATTTTTTTTTATTATGTCAATAAGGTGCTTAAATTAAGTGTTGCCAGCAGGTACATAAACTTCCTGGTAACCCTATAAAATATCCCCTTAATTATAATCCAGTAAAAACCTGGATTACTAAAATTGATTTTAGAAAAAACTTTAGCTACCTACCTACCTTCCTACCCACTTTAAAAATTGTAGGTCGGCAACTGCAAACAAAGAATTTCTTAGGCTTGGCCTAAGGGGGTATTAATTAAGTTGATGAGCCCAAGTAATGGTGTGACTTTGGAATATTCATTCAGTATGTCAGTGTAAGTTTGGGATTGTAGGATAACCAGATTTATTTCTCATCTATGCAATTTTAAAGATTCTATGTCAAAAAAAAAACTTCCATGATATCTATAAAACATTTGATCATGTTGATATACATGTATGTCAGTAATATGACAAGAAGAATTTTTGTGGACAAGATTTTACTTTAAATTTATGCTTGGCAATACATACTTACATAAATTATTTCATTTTACTTTGAAGGATTTCCAGTTAGAGCCAAGTTTTACAGACCATTCTCACTCAGGCTGTGTCAAACATGTAGCAGTGTCCAAAAAAGGAATCCTTGCATCCGGAGGAACAGATGAAACCATTCAGCTGTTTAATCTTAAGAAGAGATCACAACTAGGGTCTCTAGGGCACCACTCTGGTATCAAATTATTCGTTCCTAGTCTTAGCTTTTAATGTCCAAGTAAATATCAAGTAGTATAATATATAATTTTATGGATAAGAGTATTAAGATATGTAAGTCACTTTACTTTAATATTCCAAGCAAGAAAATGGGTTTGTGAAAAGTAATGTACATGTAGTGATAATGAAGTTTTTAAAAAAAAAAAAAAAAAAAGAGAGAGAGGCATTTTTCTGATATTTGGAGAGAATTGCTATACATGTATATATATATCAAATGAGAAGAAAAAATCTTTCTTATTCAATACATATATGTTGTTTTTTTTTTTCCTGTAATAGGATCATTGACCTGTCTACAGTTTTTCAAAAATACCCATTTGTTCAGTGCCAGTGAAGATGGAACACTGTGTATTTGGAAGACATTTACTTGGGAATGTCTAAAGACTTTAAGGGGGCACAAGTAGGTTTTATGAGAGGTTTCAAACACATAGATTGTTCTTGACCTACTGTGGTTTCCTTCACCAACTCATTGCGAGGTTTTGAAGACACATTAGAATAAAATTGTAGTTGAATGGAAGGAAACAGAGGATTTTAGTTTATTGTAATAAAACTTCAATATTCACATTATATTAACTTCAATATTTACTATTATTATTTAAACATCTATTTATTTGTTTTCCTATGTTTGTTATGAATTAGAGGTCCAGTTCTCTCTCTGTCAGTCCATCCAAGTGGGAAGTTAGCATTAACAGTTGGTCAAGATAAGACACTGAGGACATGGAATCTCATCACGGGAAAATCAGCTTACATTACAAACATCAAGAGAGGTAACTCAACTATTTAAAATATATAGACATCAAAAAAGCTCATGATTGAGAAAGTGAGAAAAAAAAGGGAAGTCACTCAACATAGTAAATTTTCAAGAGAGGTAACTCGGCAAGAGAGCAGCAATAAGCTAAGTTTTCTTCATGATTTACCTATCTGGATTAGACAAGTAAAGTGCAGGTTGTGTAAAAGCAAGTCTTATGTGCTTGGGTTTAGAAAAAGGTCTGGGATACCTATAATTCTTAAGCAGTAATTGTGAAGTCTGTAAATTTTTATTTAATGGGTACTTTCTTATCCAGAAAATTTTTGCTTCAGACATAGTTTCAAGGAATTGTGAATAGAGATTTGAAAGGTATAATTCTCTGGCTAGAATCAGCCGATTTTATTCAATCTTCTTTCACAGCTGCTGATGTTGTATGCTGGTCGCCGAGTGGTCATTTTTATGCTGTTGTTTTTGCTAATAAAGTGGATGTCTACAAACTTGAGGTATGCCTATTTATTACATTAACCAGGATTTTTTAGCACAAATGTAGGGCAGAGGTTGGGGCGTAGAAAGGACTATATTCAACAAGCATTCTGAGAGTATTGCATTAGCAATACTAGTCCCCTACCGGCAAGTGTAATCTGGTTCCCGTTAAGAATTGAAAATGCCATAATTCCGTCAAAAATCAATGAAGCGGGGCGAAATGCAAACTTGATCTATAACTAATCAAGGTAAAGTCACATACCAAAAATCAGCTCAATATCTGCAAGCGTTAAGGAGAAAAATGCGGAAAACCCCTAAAAATTGAAAAGGCCGTAATTCCGTCAAAAATCAATGAAGCGGAACGAAATGCAAACTTGATCTGTAACTCATCAAGATACACTCACATACCAAAAATCAGCTCAATATCTGCTAGCGTTTAGGAAAAAAGTGCGGAAAACCAAGTGGGACAGACTGACAGACAGACAGAGGGACAGACAGACAGACAGACAGACGGACAGACAGACAGACAGACAGACAGACGGACGGACAGACTCAGAGGAAACCTATAGTCCCCTCCGGTTTCACCGGTAGGGGACTAATAATGGCCAATATTGGTCTGCCCCCCAATTCAAACTTTGATGGAGAAATCTTAAATTATGTTCTAACCCAAGAGGATATATGCAGACTTCAAAGTTTGATTTTCAATATTTTTAAAATATTTAAATTAAACAAAATTAACAAATATAAAATGCCATGACAATTTCTTTTTTTTGTGTATTACTTCTTTGATACAGTAAAACTCAGTTATAGCCAAGTCCAAGGGACCTGTGAATTTACTTCACTGTATTTTAATTCATTATATCCATAAAATGAATTTGTTAAAGTATATACACATGTATAGCCATGCAATTCGCAACATACATGTTTTCCTTCAAGTATGATATGTTTAGGGTAGTACATTTGTACTAAATACAAAATTTACCTTGTAGAACTAAAGTTTTCTGATGAGTAAAATTTCGAATATGAATATTTACAAAAAATAATGTCAGTTCAATATTTTTAGTCCCCTACCGGTGAAACCGGAGGGGACTATAGGTTTCCTCTGAGTCTGTCCGTCCGTCTGTCTGTCTGTCTGTCTGTCCATCTGTCCGTCTGTCCCTCTGTCTGTCTGTCAGTCTGTCCCACTTGGTTTTCCGCACTTTTCTTCTAAACGCTTGCAGATATTGAGCTGATTTTTGGTATGTAAGTGTATCTTGATGAGTTACAGATCAAGTTTGCATTTCGTTCCGCTTCATTGATTTTTGACGGAATTACGGCCTTTTCAATTTCTAAGGGTTTTCCGCAATTTTCTTCTAAACGCTTTCAGATATTGAGCTGATTTTTGGTATGTGGCTTTACCTTGATTAGTTATAGATCAAGTTTGCATTTCATCCCGCTTTATTGATTTTTGACGGAATTATGGCATTTTCAATTTTTAACGGGAACCAGATTACACTTGCCGGTAGAGGACTAGTATTGCTAATGCAATACTCTCAGAATGCTTGTTAAATTTTGAGATCTTTAAAAATTCATTATAAAATAAATTTTGTTATTTTTAACTTTTAGTGGACATGGGATCAATTCATTATTATTATATATTCCATTAATTCAATTCATTATGACTTCATAATAATCGAAATATTTTGCAAGGAATTGTCAAGAATTTTGCCAGGGATCCAAAAAAACTTCACTATGTCCTGAAATTTTCTATATCCATGTTCATACTGAACAAGTTTTACTGTATTATTTTAAAAAGCATTTAATGAAACATGTAATTCTGATTTTGATAAATATGATACAAAGTTTGTTACATTCTGTTATATTAAAGGACAATATAAATTATTTATAGACTGGCAGTGTATGCTCTTCCTGGACATCAGAACACAAAGTAAACAGCTTTGCCTTTGTCAATGTAAGATCATTTTTACTTTTTTGTAAGTATACTCCTTAGACAAGTAATGTCTATTGTAAGTACATATAGCATTATACTTGTATTTTTCCTTTAATTCAGTAAATTGTAGTGAAACATCATTTACAGATATCTTAATTTACTCTCATTTTGTTGTATTTATTTTTTTTATGCTACTGAAAAAAGTTATAATGGAATTGTGACTGTGATATCATGTGCCAAGATACCTTAGATCAAAATAGAAATTGTTTTTCTGTACAGGACAGTATTGTGGTTTATGGTGGAGAAGGAGGGGTGATTTCTCTTTATGACATTAACAACAACACAGAACTGGCATCAGTCAGTGCTGAGGTCAACAGGTAAGACCTAGTCAAGGTCACACACAGACTGTCAGATATAACAGATAAACTACATGTAAATATCAACAGGTAAGACCTAGTCAAGATCACGCACAGACTGTCAGATAAAACAGATAAACTACATGTAAATATCAACAGGTAAGGCCTAGTCAAGATCACACACAGACTGTCAGATAAAACAGATAAACTACATGTTAATATCAACAGGTAAGACCTAATCAAGATCACACACAGACTGTCAGATAAAACAGATAAACTACATGTAAATATCAACAGGTAAGACCTAGTCAAGCTCACACACAAACTGTCAGATAAAACAGATAAACTACATGTAAATATCAACAGGTAAGACCTAGTCAAGATCACACACAGACTGTCAGATAAAACAGATAAACTACATGTAAATATCAACAGGTAAGACCTAGTCAAGATCACGCACAGACTGTCAGATAAAACAGATAAACTACATGTAAATATCAACAGGTAAGGCCTAGTCAAGATCACACACAGACTGTCAGATAAAACAGATAAACTACATGTTAATATCAACAGGTAAGACCTAATCAAGATCACACACAGACTGTCAGATAAAACAGATAAACTACATGTAAATATCAACAGGTAAGACCTAGTCAAGCTCACACACAAACTGTCAGATAAAACAGATAAACTACATGTAAATATCAACAGGTAAGACCTAGTCAAGATCACACACAGACTGTCAGATAAAACAGATAAACTACATGTAAATATCAACAGGTAAGACCTAGTCAAGATCACACACAGACTGTCAGATAAAACAGATAAACTACATGTAAATATCAACAGGTAAGACCTAGTCAAGATCACGCACAGACTGTCAGATAAAACAGATAAACTACATGTAAATATCAACAGGTAAGGCCTAGTCAAGATCACACACAGACTGTCAGATAAAACAGATAAACTACATGTTAATATCAACAGGTAAGACCTAATCAAGATCACACACAGACTGTCAGATAAAACAGATAAACTACATGTAAATATCAACAGGTAAGACCTAGTCAAGCTCACACACAAACTGTCAGATAAAACAGATAAACTACATGTAAATATCAACAGGTAAGACCTAGTCAAGATCACACACAGACTCTCAGTTAAAACAGATTAACAAAATTTACAGTTGAATCTTGTATTCTTTCAAATAGGTATACATTAATATGAGTAATTTTCCTCACAGTTTTTGTCTGGAAGGTGAAGCATCCAGATTAATGGTGTCCGGGTTACTGAAGCTTCACTGTATTTCTCTTTCACACTGTGTTGTCTCAGGACTTGTACACACAAGAGTAGAGACTACTTTAGTTTTCTCATCTACATGTAATTACCTAAAGATGTCTCATATTTCTAACTTTACACATGTATTTTTAAACGCTTCAAATGCCCTTAGTGACTGATAATATCTTGATACAGGTAATCCCTTCTTTTCTAATTTTTTTTGTTTGTTTGTTTGTTTGTTTTTAATGTTCCAATTAAAGTTCTGATAGAAACAGTTTACTAATGAAACCATACAATCTCTATCAATACTATTGAAAGTAGAAGTATCTAATTTATGTACAGGTCACACTATTTGGTACTGTACATTTGGACAAAAAAATTGCCAAAAAATAATAATAAAGATATTGTATTGATTGCTGTTTAGGAAAAGTAAATTTACAGAATTGGTTATGTCAGGAAGGTAGTGACTCAGTACAGGTTCAAAATTCAGCAAAGGGATTTTTTTTATTTCATACATGCATGAAAGAAAGTGATTGAGTACTGTTAGCCACTCATGCAGGTGACGGCATGTATATATTTACATTATTAGTAATTTTAGTATTCATAATTATTTCTCCTGTTTACAGGATCAGGGGTATCTCTGCTGTAAAATCAGATCCAGCTGAGGAGGATAAGTACTACGTGTTTACAGCCTCCAGTGACGGATTTATCAAGATGTTCTTTCTTACGCTGGAGGAAAAGAAGGTATGACTTCTTAAATTATCAAGCCTCATTCAAGATCATTGTGCCATAATAGTGGCTAGCCAAGCTGCTAGGCTAGATATCTAGGTCATTTGAATGCACTGTATGAATTAACCCATTATTCCTCATTCATTGTTATAGAGCATGGTTTCATAATTCAGGGGGTAATTGGTGTACTTCATATGTTTCTTGATGAATCAGATTCAACTAATTTACATGAAAGTATAATATATCATATTTACTCAGAGTGAATGGTTATGTTGAATGACAACTTAAACAGAGTAATGATTATATAAATCATATTAAATTAATTCCATAAACAATATGTACAGTCATTATTATTACTCTTTATGATTTAGGTGAATATGAAGTTACTAGCATCACACAATGCAGGATTCAGATTAACTTGTATAACAGTAACGGCACCCCTGACTTCAGATGAGGAGAAGGTGTCGAAGGTGAAAGTAAAGACTGAGAATGTCCTTGAGGACAACAGTGCACTGGAGGACAGAGTGTCAAAGGTGAAAGGAAAAACTGAGAATGTCCTTGAGGACAACAGTGCACTAGGGAACAGAGTGTCAAAGGTGAAAGGAAAGACTGAGAATGTCCTTGAGGACAACAGTGCACTAGAGGACAGAGTGTCAAAGCTGAAAGGAAAGACTGAGAGTGTCCTTGAGGACAACAGTGCACTAGAGGACAGAGTGTCAAGTGAGGAAGAAGTCAAAGACAGTAAACCAGATGAAAAGAAAAAATCACAAAAAAAGAAGATAGAGAAAAAATTGAAAAAGGAACTTACAAGGAAAAATATCAAACGACTAGGAAAACAGACACAGCAGAAAAGTAAGTGTTATCTATAGCATTCAAAAGTATGTACAGTTGAACTTCGGTATCTCGAACATGGATATCTTGAATACCATGGATATGTCAAAGTCATTGTAAAGTCTCAACTGCTAATTCCTTAAGTATTTTACCCTGGATATCTCGAATCCTTGCTTATCATGAAGTATTTTTTCGGTCCCTTCGAGTTTGAGATAATGAGGTTTGAGTGTATTATCTATAGCATTCAAAAGTAAGTATTATCTTTAGCATTGGCGTTCTTAAATTTTTAAGTGACTCCCAGTCTGATACATGTATATGGAAGATTTGTTGACTAAGATTTTCAATATCTGAATTAAGTCTCAGAATTTTTCTTGTTAAATATATTTTCATGTATTTTTTTTTAAAGTTTAGTATTGATCAACAACAACAGTTAAAAAAAATATTGAGGAAAACCAATCAAACATTTAAGTGCACATTAAATGAATTTTTAATTTATGAATTTCAGGGAAAGGAAAGAAAATCAAGAAAGAAATTGAAGATACATAAATTTAATTGTACATAGATCAATAAATTTCTAAAATGGAATACATGTATTACATTATATATGTCGGAAATGTATTTGTTTCATGTATCAAATGTTTTTAAGTTCACCTGAGCTGAAAGTTCAAGTGAGCTTTTCTGATCACCAATTGTCGTCTGTCTGTCCGTCCGTCTGTCAACTTTTCACATTTTCAATTTCTTCTCAAGAACCACTGGGCCAATTTTAACCAAACTTGCTACAAAGCATCCTTGGGTGAAGGGGAGTTTAAATTGTTAAAATGAAGGGCCAAGCCCCCTTCCAAGGGGAGATAATCAAGAAAAGACAAAAATAGGGTGGGGTCATTAAAAAATCTTCTTCTCAAGAACCACTGGACCAGAAAAGCTGAAACTTATGTGGAAGCATCCTGGGGTAGTGTAGATTCTAAATTCTTCTATTCATAACCCCCGGGGGTAGGGCAGGGCCACAATAGGGAATCCAAGTTTTACCTTGAAATATGTAGAAAAAATCTTTAAAAATCTTCTTCTCAAGAACCACTGGGCCAGAAAAGCTGAAACTTATGTGGAAGCATCCTGGGGTAGTGTAGATTCTTAATTCTTCAATTCATGACCCCGGGGGATAGGGCGGGGCCACAATAGGGAATCCAAGTTTTACATTGAAATATGTAGAAAAAATCTTTAAGAATCTTCTTCTCAAGAACAACTGGGCCAGAAAAGCTGAAACTTAAGTGGAAGCATCCTGGGGTAATATAGATTCTAAATTCTTAAAATCGTGATCCCTGGGGGTAAGGCGGGACCACAATAGGGAATCCAAGTTTTTTCCTTGAAATATGTAGAAAAAAATCTTTAAAAATCTTCTTCTCAAGAACCACTGGGCCAGAAAAGCTGAAACTTATGTGGAAGCATCCTGGGGTAGTGTAGATTCTAAATTGTTTGAATCATGACCCCTGGGAGTAGGGTGGGGCCACAATAGGGAATCCAAGTTTTACATTGCAATATGTAGAAAAAATCTTTAAAAATCTTTTTCTCTAGAACCACTGGGCCAGAAAAGATGAAACTTAAGTGGAAGATTCTTGGGATAGTGTAGATTCTAAATTGTTCAAATTACGACCCCCGGAGATAGGGTGGGGCCACAATAAGTACTACAAGGCTGGAAATCGGGTGAAAAACAGCAAAGCCAGTTACTCATTTACTCATCATTGTAGCCCATTGGCCTCTTGTTATTGATTTTTTTCTTTTATTTCTTTTTTTTTTGACATGCTCTAAAAAGGTGTTTCCTGTATTTGTTGGACCATCAGTTTGCAACTGTGTTTGTGGATGGGATGGGTTTGGAAAGGGAGGGGAGCAGAACTCAAATGTTTGTCATGATGACCTCATTTTGTGATTATGATTAAGCATACTGGTACTTTAAATCAACTTATTGAAACTCATACGTATGTCATGATGACCTCATTTTGGAATTATAACTGGGCATATTCAAATCAGAGGTCTGTTACCTGGCAAGATGCAGTAAAAGCAGCCCAGAATCGAGTTCGTTGGAGGACTGTCGTCGATGGCCTATGTTCCTCACGGAACGACAGGCCTAAGTAAGTAAGTAATATTCAAATCAACTCACATCCAAACAACATTTTGGACATGATTATTAATGCTGGTCATTTTTATACAACTTGGGAAAAATATACTGTGTATCAGTTTTGCCATCTTTGCTAGCCAAGGGTTTCTGATCCACTACTATCCTCACAAACATTATGAGAAGAGTTATATAAGCGGATCAGAAACCCTTGGCTAGCAAAGATGCAGTTTTGCAGACTAAAAGATGCCAATTATGCCTTAGATAGGTATATTATTATTGATCAGTATTGAAGTAGATATCAATCCTATTCATTTAGATTTCCAGATTTCAGAGGGTTACATGCAGTAGATATAACATAAAGTCTCACTGCAAAGTACACTTTATTTAGTTAATTTCAAAATTCTTTTGTGTGCACTATGCATATCTGTGAAATGAAACATGGACACAAATAGAAATTGACTGTATAAGTAGCACACTGGGCAAAATGTTTTTATGATATCCAGAGATAAAGAGGGATACAGTTTTTTTCTATGTTTGTCAAGAAAGGCTATGTACTAGTTCTTTCTTTCTTCTTTGAAGTCCCTCCTGTGAATTAGGAGCACTCCAATATTTATAAAATCGGGTACATGGACTTTAATTTGTATTTATGTTCTTATTCGTGCCACTCAAACGAACATAAATAATTTATAAAATAAACACAAACACGTATATTAGGATGTGAAGCACTCTGATAGTGCAGTTTACTTTTTACACATATGTACAAATGTCATATGCAATTCTTCTTGGTCTTCCTTTCTACAAAACAAAACAGTATTTTTAATATAAAATCTTATTAAACATGTAAAGCAAGGGCGGGTGGGGTGGGGATTCAGTTACCTGCACTGAAAAGAGCCTTTGAATGGCTATAGAACTTTCGGCGCTAACAGCGGTTGGTTAAAACCCGTGCAATGAATATTTAAATGTCACCTGACAAGGTGACCAGTATTGCAGCCAATAGATTACAGATATAAATAAACACGAACACGTGTTATTAAAACCTTTGAATCAATAAATACATATCTATTTTAAAACAAACTGAGAATATCAAGCTTATACATGTATTAGAGTATTAAAATAACTATAGAGGATACCTTTTAATTCTGTGTCATAAAATGAAAATCATGTGGTGGTTAAAACGATGATGAAGCATGTATACAGACTTATCAATGTGAGGTGAAAAAAAAAGTTAATGTATAGACGAATAAGTTTTAGATCGAATTAACTAAGAAACCAATATGGCGGCGCCCATGACTACAGGTGGTTTTCCATTGAAAAGTAAACAGGTACCAATTTTGCCATATCGATGTACTTACTTTTAAAAAATAGTACTCTAGGCCTATATTGTGTCAGAGATTATATCGAACAGTTCCATTCTCTTGAGTAAGAACTGAAAATGTATACAAATGTTTTAACACCCCCTTCTCAAGATATTGAAAACTAGTACATGGGTTATATGTAAAAAGGTCCCGTACAATCTCTGGATTTTGAACAAGCTATTCAAAATAGTTTGATGTAGCTATTTCATTTACTTTTTTATGAAATGTGCATTTTTTCAGGATGTAAAAAAAAGTCGCATTTTGGTGCAGTGAAAACTTTTCATCTTTGAACTCTTCTGAAAACATTGCTTAAAAATTACCCATCAATTTACGTCTCCATAAGCATGATAAGAGACTTTGAACTCAAAGTTAAAAAAGATTTTAGGCTATACAAAGCAATCTATTTGTTACCACAAAATTGTTTGTTGAATGAAATAAAAGAGGTTAATACTGTGGTCAACAATGTGATTGGTAATGATTTAGCACAATATGAAGTATTTAGCACTGTCTCACCACACACAAGGTGGCATACAAAATACTGGAATTACTTCTTTTACTTAAAAGCAAGAGTGTTGGCAAAGGGGCAGCAGTCACTGCCCCAGTAATTTGGTCTAAAAAATTTTTATAAAGAGTTTTAAAAATAAATTAAAAAATAAAAAAATATCTCCTCACTGGAGAGGCAATAATGAGAAAGTGTGAAAACTATTTTCATACAGACACAAAATGGGATTATATATATATTATTATAAAAGTAACTTGATCCGAAGAGCCGTATCACGTCAAGTTGACAGACACGGATCACAGATCAAATGAGAAGCCAAGCGTCAAGTTTGATCTGATGATCCGCACCTGTAAACAAGATGTGATACAGCTTTTCAGATCAAGTTACTGTTATAATGATAAATTTATCAGGGGTTGAAAATTTCCTGGAAATCCCACTAGCCCAGGGGCTACTGATCAGTAAAAAATTACTAGCCTTAATCTCAAACTAACTAGCCCAACATTTTTTTATTCAAAATGAAAACATAACAAGTCAAAGTTTCAAACGCTTTGGTGACAGAAACATACTAGTTCTCAGTAAAAAGAAACCAGTCTACATAAAAATGAGAAAGTAAACTGACGAGAATTTTTTTTCCGTTCTGCTAGTCCGACGGACTATTGTTACATTTAAATTAGCTAACCCGAGTCTTAAAATGACTAGCCCCTGGCGTCTGGCTCCCGTATATTTCAACCCCTGTTTATTATATACCCCTTTACAACTAGCAAAATATAATAAAAGGAAACTTTCTGGATCAATAACATAACTTTTATCCATTAAACAAACCATTTTGTCAAGGAACTTTTTGATACACAAGAATAAAAACGTCATTTATCTGTGTACTATGTCATCAGTTTCAGAGAGGGGTGATATGGATTCAGAAAACCACAGTGTGGTGATCCGGAACATCGGATCACACCGTCACAAGATAGTACAAATTCAACAGTAAAATTGAGTGACAAACAGTGGTGTGTGTAAACAATAAACATAATCCATATTGTTACATACTTGCAACATTTTGTCTGTTTCTTATTAAAAAAAAATGTATTTGTGAAAAACTGCATAGAAATTGCTAAATTAAGCCATTTTGAATAATTCGCTTAATAAAGCTATATAGTGGCATCATGAGATTGTCCTGGACCTGTTAAAAATGAGCTGTGAGTTAATTAAATTAACTAGTTCTTAACAAAAGTTGGATCTGTAGCCAAGGGGCAAAGAAATTTTGGTTATGATGCATCTAAATTAAGTTTTACTGACCAGAAATTTCCAGAGATTGTATCTTGAACTGTAATTGAGTTTAATTAAATCATATAACATTTCATTCATATCAAGTTACCAAACTTGATACCATGCAAAAGGTGCTTTTTTCTGTTAGTCTCACTTTATCATGTAATTTGAGGAGTTTATATTTTGCACACATTTTATTGTACTGTACTTTATTTCCCAGAAATAGGTAAATACAAGTGTTTTTCTTAATTTGTAGACAGCATTTGTTTTGGATGGTGAACCAACTGAAGTATTGTGTTGTCATTATGAAGACTACGATTTCATTCTTGCAACACAGCTGAATAAGATGGGAACTATGGTAGGAAATTCAACATTATTCTTTATGAGCTAAATGTTACATCTACAATTTTACGAGATACTGTGCTTCTTTTTATGCAGAAACAAAAGGAATGAGGGCACATACAGTAGTTTTTGTACTCTCTGTGCACCGTTTTCTTCTGTGTGCATCTAACCTTGTCCTCAATAGTTGATACAAAGGGAGTTTTATATTTTCATTTGGTCTAGATAACATGTAAGGTGCTGTTCAAGGTCCTATATGGCATCAATGGTCATATTCCATCTTCTTTCAGCCGAAAACACAAAATATCCACACACAAAAAATTTTGTATTAAATTCTAATTTAACAGCAGCAGTTTTTCTCTTTATTTAATGATACAGGTGGAAGTCACACGAGATTTAGTTCTACAGGAAATGTCTACGTCCAGGCCCTCCTACTCAACCCGAGTTCTTCTGGGGGTGGATGAGGTTAGTCATCTTGGATTTTGTGTTTATTACTGAAAGGATTTTAAAATTCATAGGTTTACATATTTGCTTATACACTGTACTGGTCAGAGACCAAAAGAATTAATGTGATTATAAGCTGTTTATCATTCCATCTGTCTGTCTAGCTATGTGTCTGTTGATTTGCCTGTATGAAAACAAAAATTAAAATGCTACTGTTCCAACAGTTTTGGTCCACTTTCTGATACCAGTAAGAAATATAAAATAGTATAGCCATTAAAGTCCAATGTGGGAGAAGTGGTCAAATGGTTTACACATCATACACCTTAAGACCTCAATTTCAAGTCTTATCTAATTACAAAATATATGTGTCTCCCTCTCCCAACTTTCTACTGATCCAAAATTGTTAGGCCAATCAAATTTAGATATATCTGAGGGACACACCTTTTTTTTTAAATAATATATTTATTTACTATGCTGATAACAAATTCACTACACCAAGATAAATAATTCTCTGTATCCCTTTTGATTTCAATAACAGTGTTACCATGGTTACTAGGACTACAAAGGAAAAGATGGGTAAGACTCCTCTTTGACCCCTGCTTTTGGGTGTCTCGCAGAATGATGCAATACATAATCAAAAACCTATTGTCATCCCTGTTTCAAAATGAGTATTGTTTTCAAGTGATAAGATTGACAGAAGTCACAAAATTTGTTATTTTCTGTATTTTCTCAAATTTATTCAAATTTTCCTCAATTTTAAGACACAAATTTGTTTCAGAAAATAAAGAGGGCCAGCTTGCATATTTATCAAATTTATATATTTCATTCACTTCTATCAGATACATCTTGTGTATTTGAAATAGGCAAGCTTGCACTCTTTGTTTCCCAAATGGCCAAAGTAGAAAGTTTCCCAATTTTGACATTTCAACAGAATTGAGAATTTGGTGAAATCCCTTTTTTGTCACCCTTTTGTGGCCTCCTTTAACTTTTTAAATTTAAAATCAAAGCTGGTTTTAGAACAAGCATCATTTAAAATTTCTAAATTCAAGCTATCACAATTTTACCTGTGTTTTGATTTTTATATCAAATAAGGGGCCAAACTCAGCCCTTGCCATAGTACATCTCTCAAGTGGTGACCTAGATTCTCATTAATTAAGAAATTAATAACATTAGCAACTTGACAAACGATGAGATATCACATAAGTCACACCTGTTTACTGTAAGAAACGATGTCATTGGTTCCTTGCTTCACTTGTTGACATCTTGCCAATTTTTATCCCATGTGTATTTCACCCAGGAATGAAAAGCTGTGTAAATTTCAGTATTGATGAGCTAATCTGGCAACCAATGAGAATCTAGGTCACTATTTGAGAGACGCTAATTATGTATCGCCAAGAATGTCACACCTTACTGAAAGTTCAGGCAGAAAAGAGAATTGTAGTATCTTCTCCTTTAGTGAAATTCTTTTTAAATGGCTCAAGAAAACATCAAGATATTTCAGTAATGTAAAATCATTTTAAAGAAAAAAGATTCTGTTCAGAAGCAAGTTCACTATTGATAAACCAGTAAATCTACAGTCTAATCAGAGACTTTGAGTTTGCCTTTGGCACTTATTACAGGTACATATTTTAGTTTGTGTATATTTAACTTGCCTTGTGTAGATGATTTACCATTTCTTAAATTTCTGACTTAATTCAGAGAGTGTAAATATAGTGAATACACAAACCACAAGTCACTTTTCCTTATACTTTAATATTAACAATACTCAGTAACTTGTAATTCTATTGAGAAAAAAAGTCTTGAAATAGATGATAAAAGCCAAAAAATTTTATTTGATTTTTTTTCAGAGATGCTCTATTAATATATTATGATTGAAGTATGTCTTTTATTTTTAAGCCACTCACACACGTCATCGCCAAGAATCTGCTTTCAAAACTGGATACAACTAAGAAGGTTCTTTTATCCTTTTCCCTGAAAGAACACTCCCCAAATGTAATCCAGAGATTAAGTGAAGTCATCAAAACTGTCGTTGAATGATCTACGCAAAAGCTGACAAAAAGGGACATAATCCAAACTGTCCAACTGTGAAGAGAGAGATGCCCAATGAGCACTATTCCCGGTATCAGATGAAATGAGATCTCAGTGTGTTTGGGTTGTCTTTCTTACTCTGTATCAGTAGAAAGCACCACCAGTAGTAACTTTTTCCACAAGTTAAAGTAATTGACTGGTTTTTACCAAAATGATGATTAGGTGGTATCAAAATTAAATCTCTGTTTACAAATTTGATAAAGAACTTGCATGTTGTAGATTTGTTGATATGTAATAAAATTTTGTCAATTATTGATATTTATTCTTAATATTTCACTATGCACTACAGGATAAATTCTGAATTTTACTGTGTGCCATAAGGTCTGTGTGATACAGAATATTAATTTCAAACAAATTGCTCGTACACTATTAAATAGCCATAAAACAAACGTCTTGGATGCTGATTTGGGGTGATTTTCTACTCTTCTTATCGGCCGTCTCCCTACCTCATTGTCATGATGGACATTTATTGATCAGCCTTATGGGCCTTTATCACTATGGTATGTTTGCAGTTATACCGACCACGTGTATCTAACGAGGTATCCTGACATGAAAATAACCGTTTTATTCACGTAAATGGTCCACATTCTCGCTGTAATCACTTATAGATGATTCTTTTCAGAATGCAATTGTGTACGAAAATGAAGTGTTCGATTTGATTTCTTTGACGAGATTATTAGCTTGTAACTGACTGTTTCTCACATATAATGCGCACTGAATTACCATTACTTGAGTATTAGCCATATACAAATTCTCTCTATGAAAGACTTAATCATCGAGATTGCACTGCATGAATCTCACGAATGAAATATGGACCCCCCGCCTCAAAGCTTTTACTGTGAAGTACTCATCATTAATGTCATTACTCAACTAAAATGTTGACGGCAAGTCTGTAACAAGGATCGAGGGGCCAAATGTTGTCGGAGAATATGTCACCTTCGTTTAGAACACGATGATAGGAGACTGGCACACATTTCCGATATGCGCGTGCTGTATAAAAGAGGTACAGTGAGGGAGAGACATCCACTGAAATATCTAAAATTTATCTCCGTATTTTCAATTCTAGACGAACGATGCAAAGTCAAGTACTTCGAAAGAAACTTTTTACTTGTGAATCGATTTCTGATGATAATGTACAAGTGAATTATGTTCAAACTTCGCAAGTAGTTTACAAAAATACGCAAATAAAATTCAAATGGGAACACCCACCCCCTCCCTTTACATACACAGATACGCACAAATAAATGGACCTTTTTTTTCTTTCTTTCTTTTTTTTTAATATCCTTTGATTTATTATTAATTTTTAATAATTATTTATCTCAATTTATTTATTTTTTAATGACATTTTACATATTTATATTTTTCTTTAAGGATGATTTATTTTCGTCTCGGTGAAAGCCAGATTGTTTTCAATGCTAGTGATTTTGTTTCGTGAGATTGGTGTCTATAAATATATATCTTTTCCACCATTTGTAATAGGTTGAATTTTTCTGCTTTGAACTATATGCTCCTGGACATATGGGAATGAAGATATCAGTGTCACTAATAATTTCACAAACGCCTAACTTCCCCTGATGTCTGTTAAGTCAGCAAATTTATCAAAATGAGAGTGCCATTTGTGTATTTGTTACTATGTAGATCCACAAACACTGACCTAAAGTATGGATAACACCCATCCATCCTCCCTTCCCCATTACAAAATTTAACTGGAATAATAAAAGTAACGTACTGTCTTTTCACAAATTTACAATTTTGAAAATTATATAGTCAGGTACGCATTTAGTAAACGACAGTATGACCATTTTCTAAACCTTGAAAAAAGTACTAATTGTACGGAACGACACATGTGATTGACGGGAAAATCACATGTATTTGTGAGAGAATATTTCGTCATATTTTGGTAATTGGGGAGGGGGGGGGTATGAAGAGCTGTACGTTTTTCACACTTCTGATGCCTGTATCAACTGTGTAGTACTAGAACATTTCAGAATAAATATTTTTATTAGTATCAAAGTAAATAAGTGAATAGCCTACCAAGGGAAGGCATTTTTGCCTGCTGTTCAATCCCATTTCCTTTCCGAAATAGCGCTCGCTCCGTGATCGGGAGGTCGTGAGTTCGAATCTCGGCCGCGACAGACCTAAGTCGATAAAAAATAGGTAGCAACTGTTCCTTCGCCATGCGCTCGGCACTTTGGAGTGAAAGTTGCGGGTCTTTCGGATGAGACCTTAAAAACCGAGGCCGTTGGCACGATAAAGATCCCTCACTGCTCAATGGCCCTGAGTGCCGAGTGAAGGTCAAAATTTGAAGCCCTTCACCGGTATATGGTGACGTCTCTATATGAGTGAAAAATTCTCGAATGGGACGTAAAACAATATACAATCAGTCAATCCTTTCCGAAATAAATACATTTTACTGTTTAAATTCTCGCTGACAGAGTGATTTACGGTAAAACATTGGTTTTTCTCCAGGATCGCAAATAATGAAAATTCTGTAAGCCTTTCATTTTTGCATAAGACCTTCTTTACCACAGTGACAGAAACAAGTAGAAGTACTGCGATAGTCCTTCTATAATTCATTTTAAAGTTTCTCCATTACAAAGAATGGAGGCGTACAAGGCGAGGACAATCCCCCGCTCTGAGAAAAGACATTTCTCAATTCTAACAAGTTCATAAAAAGTTACATTTTCAAAAAATTCTATTGTCAACATCATTTTTAGCTTACCTGAGCTGAAAGCTCAAGTGAGCTTTTCTGATCACCCATTGTCCGTCCGTCTGTCTGTCCGTCCGTCTTTAAACTTTTCACATTTTCAACTTCTTCTCAAGAACCTCTGGGCAAATTTTAACCAAACTTGGTACAAAGCATTCTTGCGTGAAGGGGAGTTTAAATTGTTAAAATGAAGGGCCAAGCCCCTTTCCAAGGGGAGATAATCAAGAAAAGACAAAAATAGGGTGGGGTCATTAAAAAATCTTCTTCTCAAGAACCACTGGGCCAGAAAAGCTGAAACTGACGTGGAAGAATCCTGGGGTAATTGTTCAAATCAAGACCCCTGGGGGTAGGGCGGGGCCACAATAGGGAATCCAAGTTTTGCATTGAAATATGTAGAAAAATTTTTTAAAAAATCTTCAAGAACCACTGGGCCAGAAAAGCTGAAACTTTTATGGAAGCATGCTTGGGTAGTGTAGATTCTAAATTGTTCAAATCATGACCCCAGGGGTAGGACGGAGCCACAATAGGGAATCCAAGTTTTACATTGATATATGTAGTAAAACAAGAGGCCCATGGGCCACATTGCTCACCTGAGCACATTGGCTAGGGAAAAAAAGAAGCAAAAATCAGTTAAGTATTGAAAAATTAACGGGGGGGGGGGTGAATTTTAAACTACCTGATGATGCTTTCATATCAATATAACAAATGGCATTGCTGTTCTTGAGCAGAAGATTTTTTCCCATATATTCATTTGTAAAAATTTGATCCCCCATTGGCCCCACCCTACCCCCGGGGTCCCTCATTTGAACAAATTTCATTCCACAGTACCCAAGGATGCCTCCATATCAATTTTACTAATCATGGCTTTTCTGTTCTTGAGGAAAAGATTTTTTCCTGTATATTTCTATGTAAAACTTTGATCCCCCATTGTGGCCCCACCCTACCCCCAGGGGTCATGATTTGAACAAATTTGAATCTTCACTACCAGAGGATGCTTCCATATAAATATGACCAATCATGGCTTTACTGTTCTTAAGAAGAAGATTTTTAAAGATATTTTCCTGTATATTTCTATGTAAAACTTTGATCCCCCATTGTGGCCCCACCCTATCCCCAGGGATCATGATTTAAACAAACTTGAATCTACACTACCTGAGGATGCTTCCATATAAATATGACAAATTATGGCTTTGCCGTTCTTAAGAAGAAGATTTTTAAAGATATTTTCCTATGTATTTCTATGTAAAAATTTGATCCCCCATTGTGACCCCACCCTATCCCCGGGGGTCATGATTTAAACAAACTTGAATCTTAACTACCTGAGGATGCCTCCATATAAATATGACCAATCATGGCTTTGTTGTTCTTAAGAAGAAGATTTTTTAAAATATTTTCCTATATATATTTCTATTTAAAACTTTGATCCCCCATTGTGGCCGCACCCTACCCCCGGGGGTCATGATTTGAACAAATTTCATTCTACACTACCCAAGGATGCCTCCATATCAAATTTACTAATGCAGGCTTTTCTGTTCCTGAGAAAAAAGATTTTTTCCTGTATATTTCTATGTAAAAGTTTGATCCCCCATTGTGGCCCCACCCTATCCCCAGGGGTCATGATTTGAACAAACTTGAATCTACACTACCTGAGGATGCTTCCATATAAATATGACCAATCATGGCTTTGCTGTTCTTAAGAAGAAGATTTTTAAAGATATTTTCCTATATATTTCTATGTAAAACTTGGATCCCCCATTGTGGCCCCACCCTACCCCCGGGGGTCATGATTTGAACAAACTTGAATCTACACTACCTGAGGATGCTTCCATATAATTATGACCAATCATGGCTTTGCTGTTCTTAAGAAGAAGATTTTAAAAGATATTTTCCTATATATTTCTATGTAAAACTTTGATCCCCCATTGTGGCCCCTCCCTACCCCCGGGGGTCATGATTTGAACAAACTTGAATCTACACTACCTGAGGATGTTTCCACATAAGTTTCATCTTTCCTGGCCCAGTGGTTCTTGAGAAGAAGATTTTTAAATGATGCCATTATTTTTTCACTAATTCCTAATTATCTCCCCTTGAAAGAGGGCGTGGCCCTTCATTTGAACAAACTTGAATCCCCTTCACCCAAGGATACTTTGTGGCAAGTTTGGTTGAATTTGGCCCAGTGGTTCTTGAGAAGAAGTCGAAAATGTAAAAAGTTTACAGACGGACGGACGGACAGACGGACAAAAAGTGATCAGAAAAGCTCACTTGAGCCTTCGGCTCAGGTGAGCTAAAAAACTTTAAAAATCTTCTTCTCAAGAACCACTGGGCCAGAAAAGCTGAAACTTATTTTGAAGCATCCTGGGGTAGTGTAGATTCTAAATTGTTCAAATCATGACCCCAGGGGTAGAGCGGGGCCAAAGGATTTTTAAAGATTTTTCCTTTATATTTCAATGTAAAACTTGTATTCCCTATTGTGGCCCCGCCCTACCCCTGGGGGTCAT